TGAACCCGAAAAAACTTCTGCGGATCGAGATCAACTTAAAAATAAATGTTTTTGGCTCATTTGCGAAGGTGGTCGAAAAATAAAATGACGTTCAAAATTCACTTTACACTATACACTACCAGACAAAAAAACGGGACACACTGAATTTTTTGTGATTAGCTGCAATTGGTCGAACTTTTGTAAACAATATTCCAAAAAGCGAGAAAACATTAACAGAAAACCTAACTTTATTCTAAAACATGCTGAAACTGATAAAAAGTTAAAAAAGTTATAACATTTGACATTAGCTTAAAATTATAAATATTCAAATGACCGGTTTTTTTTTGTCTGGCAGTGTATTTGTAATTCTTTAACAAATTAAAGAAAAATTTTCAGAAAAATTCCGCTGTAGAGGAAGCATCATCAGACCATCAATACATAATGGACAGATAAGGTTAACTAATGCCTCTAATGTGCCCAAAATTACCACGCCGCCAAGAGTTTTTTCTTTCATTATTTGACGTTCTTTTAATAGAAGAAGTGAACACTGAGGTTGAAACTGGTCGAACAATGATCAAAAATTTCGTAACTTTTGTACTGAAAAATTGAGCTTTTGAAAAAATGGCCTAAAAACCCACAAATATTTCTGGGATATAGATCCCCGCGTGCTCATTTGAAAAATATAACGTTTTTATAGCCCTGGACAAAAATGTTTTAAATAATCGTCTGGAACGTCAAAATTTAAAAATTCTCAAAATTTCCAACATATCAATTGGCAATTTTGCGAAAGTGACACGCTTTTTCGACGAAATGAAACCAAAAATAATTTGTGGGGATCAAAATCTGCAAGAAAATAAATGTCTTTAGCCAATTTTCGAAAGAAAAATTTGAATAAAATAGCCAATTCTAAGGAATCGTAAACATTATTTTTTTATGGAAACAAATTGAGGTTCTTAGAGTGAAGAAAATTAGTCCAAAGTTTTTTAGACAAAACTTGTGTGTCATTCTTTCTTAATAATTTCTAAACCTGGAGCAGCTTTTTCATTTTCTATGAAAAATTCAATCACAAATTTTAGTTTTAACGCATATGAAATCATCAACTTGATGACCTTAAAACACAAAATCTTCAATGATCATTCGAGTAATTTTGAAGAATATCTATTAATAAAATTGCCAATAAGACTGACGGACAAACCCACGGAAAACGAAGAGGGAAATATTTGTATTTCTTTAAAAAATTAAGAGAAAAACTTAATAACGTCATGCAGATCTATAACTAAATTTTGAACGCAGGGTAGGACTCTGAAGATAGTGGAGGCAGGCATTTTGAACATTTATCATAAATTCGTTTTCGTTGTAATCTGATGATAATAAATTGAGTATTAATTTTTTAAATTTTGTCATTACGAATTTCCATTTCGATTTTTAAGTTCGTTTAAATAAATTCAACAATTCGGATACAATTTCGCCTAAATTAACAGAATCCCAGAGGGAATCACCCCACTTTCCACCCCGAAAACTGCTAACAAATCGATCGCGAAAACTTCCTAAAAACAATATTTGTCCAAAACCGTAAGCAATTTTCTTGTTTGAGTTCTAATTAACTGTTAAGTTTTTGTTGCGCTAATGCGTTGTTTACTAAGTAACACAATACGTTGAACCTGTAAATAGCCACTAAGTAAACGTCAAGACAACAACATACTTCAGGTATATCCGTTTCAGAATTACACTTACAACTCGGAATTAGCGAAAATCCTGACTCGACTTTCAAACAACCTTCCCCTTTCTTAATAATTCTAATAATTGGTCTAAAGAGTTTAGACAGTACTTCCCTCGCTGTCGGAAACTTGACGACTGCATGCCTATTGTGTTTTTTTTCTCATTACATATTGTAGTGGGAATTTAAAAAAAAATTGCGATGATGTCATCAACATTTTTGCAAGGACACGTATATCAGTTGGGATAGATGTAGTGTAATACTAAGAATAAAATTATTATATTCTCAAATTTTCGGGAAAATGAATTGGGTCGTTTTGAATATTGATTTCTTATAATCAATAAAATAACGAAACAATTTACTCACGTATACGTATCAGAGGCAACTGAAAATCGTGTATGTATAAACATTCTTAATTTAAGATGACAGACGTAACAGCATACGTGAGAGTCAAACAGAGAAACTGTAAACAAAACGACCATCGGTTTTATTGCTTCGACTTCCGCTTATTATATAAAACATTGGGTTTTATTTTAATTCTTGACGGTGAAATTCACAATTGGTTGATTATAAACATGTCTATTTCACATTCGCGGAACCAAGTGAGCGCATAAAACAAATACAGGTCTGTAATGTTAAAGTCGATGTAAATAAGCGTGCTACCCTTATGTTTCAACCGAGTTTTTCCTTTAACAAATTTTGTGTCTACCAGATTGGGTTGGTTGGGGTGTAATACTAATAATAAGTGTTGCCTTTAATTTAATCAATAAAATAAATTGACTTCATTAATTTTTTTGAACCATCTCTTAAGAAAATCTAAAAAATATGAATGGAATGATAAATCACAAGTACAAACTCATCATATTTTTTGCATTTTAGATAGGATTTATTCAGCAAAATTTAAGGGTGACGTCATGAATCTTTTTAGGAGGGATGAACAAATACATTTTGAACAAAAGTTTACCATGCTTATAATAACTTTAAAATATTCCCAAGATTTCAAAGCATTCGGTTTTGTAATTCCTGATTAAATCGATAAAATAAATTCACGCCTTCATTTATCTTTTTGAGTCACCCTGCATATGCAAATCCAAAAATATGAATGGAATGATAAATCACAAGTACAGACTCATCATATTTTGTACATTTTAGATACGATTTATTCGGCAAACTTTTGAGCTGACGTCATCAGTTTTTTGTAGAAGATAACCAAATATATTTTGACTAAAAATTTATTATGCTCTTTATGACCTTAAAACATCTGCAAGATTTCAAAGCATTCGGTTTTGTAGTTCCTGATTAAATCAATAAAATAAATTTACGCATTCATTAATTTTTTTGAGTCACCCTGTATATGCAAATCGAAAAAATTTGAATGGAATGATAAATCACAAGAAGAGACTCACCATATTTTGTACATTTTAGATAGGATTTATTCAGCAAAATTTTGTGGTGACGTCATAAATTTTTTAGGGGGGACGACCAAATACGTTTTGATCAAAAATTTACCATGCTTATGATAATTTTAAAATATCTTCAAGATTTCGAAGCATTCGGTTTTGTAGTTCCTGAGTAAATCAGTAAAATAAATTTACGCTTTCATTTATTTTCTTGAATCACCCTGTATATGCAAATCCAAAAAATATGAATGGAGTGATAGATCACAAGTACAGACTGATCATATTTTGTACATTTTAGATATGATTTATTCGGCAAATTTTCGAACTGACGTCATCAAGTTTTTGGAGGGGATAAGCAAATATATTTTGACTAAACATTTATTATGCTCTTTATAACCTTAAAACATCTGCAAGACGTCAGAGCATTCCGTTTTGTAGTTCCTGATTAAATCAATAAAATATATTTACGCATTCATTAATTTTTTTGAGTCACTCTGTATATGCAAATTCAAAAAATATGAATGGAGTGATGAATGTCAAGTACAGGCTCATCATATTTTGTACATTTTAGATATGATTTATTCGGCAAACTTTCGAGCTGACGTCATCAAGTTTTTGGAGGGGATAAGCAAATATATTTTGACTAAACATTTATTATGCTGTTTATGACCTTAAAACATCTGCAAGATGTCAGAGCATTCCGTTTTGTAGTTCCTGATTAAATCAATAAAATATATTTACGCATTCATTAATTTTTTTGAGTCACTCTGTATATGCAAATCCAAAAAAATATGAATGGAGTGATAGATCACAAGTACAGACTCATCATATTTTGTACATTTTAGATATGATTTATTCCACAAACTTTTGAGCTGACGTCATCAAGTTTTTGGAGGGGATAAGCAAATATTTTTTGACTAAAGATTTATGATGCTCTTTATAGCCTTAAAACATCTGCAACATTTCAAAGCATTCTGGTTAGCAGATTAAAAATCAAATTTCAAAATGTTGTTTTATAATTTTGATTTTTTTTCCAAAAATCTGGACGTTTCGGGTGAAAAGTCGATTCAGAGTTGTAAACTACATGTGTAGGACTATGTTATTTTATACAATTGAAAACCCATTTACATCCCATACCCATTAGACAAATTTTGGTTAGCGTTTTACCATCTACATGATATTCTTAATATAAGTACAAAATTTCACAACAATCGGTCGAGTACTTTCGGAGATTATCTGTCTAATAAAATCCGGGGGCAGACGGACAGACGGACAGACGGACGGACAGACGGACGGACGGACAGACGGACAGACGGACAGACGGACAGACAGACGGAAATGGGAGACCTATTTCTTCGTCTTTTAGGGGTCATGAAAAATCGAGAAAACGTAAAAGTAGAGAGTCGGCCGACGGACTCGATTACAATACTTCCTTTGCTTACGCTCGGGAAGTAAAAATTTTGTACATTTCTATCTCGAATCTCGCTTTTATTCTCGTCACAAGCCATTGAAAAAGCTTAATTTACTTAAAACTGGTGAGAGACGGTGTTAATTTCTGAAGCATTTGGAAACTGAAACTCACGCTCTGTCGCTTTTTCCACTAACTTAATTTAATAACGGAGGCACAACAACCGGTTGCATATTTACCTAATCTGGAAACAAAGGTGAAATTGAGTTTAGACGTGTTTCGTATCACTCGGAGTTGGCAAGCTTTTCTCCGTTCTTGTAAACGGAAATGCAGCAGCGCTTGCTTTTATATTTATAATCCACGAATCAGCGAATTCACGCCAAGCGGAAGAGATAACGTTTCGAGCGCTTCGAGCCAAAATGTTTTTTTTTTTTAACAATATTTAACCATGTTAACAATCCGGAAAGAAACTCAGCTTTTTTAATTAAGTGCTTACCTCGATCGGGATCATAATAAAAGTGACAATCAGATCCGCAATGGCAAGATGGCGAATCATTAAACTTATCCTCGACTTGCGATGCCTCGACCGGAACAGCGAAATAAACACCGTCAAATTTCCCACAGCCGCGACGACAAAAAGCGCACTATAAACCAGGATAACGTTCAAGTTCTGCTGGATGAGGATCTCGGGCACCGTGTCATTATTACAGACGTACAAAGTATCGTTTAGCACACTCAGGTTGCTTTTACAGTCTTCATTCGAAAGTTCCTCGCCCATTTTACCAACCGACGGGCAAGGTGAGGACTCGAGACTCGGCCGTTTTGACTTCGAGGGGCATTTTTAGAGGCGCGGGTTGTGATTTAGGCGGTCGGGGTGCAAGAGCGCGCTTTTCGGGGTTTCAAATGCGAGCCCGCTTTTCAGGAGGAAAGAGCGCGCCCTTACTGAATGGGATATCTGGAGATTCAACCGGAATCAGTGACATGCGCGCCGCCCGAGCGCCTGAAGAATGGACTGTTAACAGGGTGAATGAAAAATCTGCATGGTGGTAGCGATCGCGATTTGATGATAATCGGGAGGATGCGGGAAAAAAAAACGTGCAACAGGGTCGGGGAATACGTGTCTGGATGCTCGATATTTGAAAGGCAAATTTACTTTGAGGAGTTTTACTGCCGAGTGTGAGCTAAGGAAGTGTTGTAACCGAGTCTTTAAGTATTTCCATTAATTATTAAATTATTAAAAAAAAACAATGTTTCTCGGATCGGTTTAAATTAACTTCCACTTGCATTAGTGTTCAAATTGCATCTTAGTAACCTCAATCAGACTGGCTATATTTACCAATGCGCTGTTGCAAAATTGCATCATCGTCCATCTTTCTGATTAGTGATTATCGTAAAACGTTATACAGTGTCACAACATTCTTTTCCAAAAATTTTAACATTTTATAAGATACGACAAATTTTGGCAATTTTTGAAATAAATTTGAAAGCAAATGGTATAACAAAAAAAGTTACAATTAGAGTTTTTTTTACTTTTTTCACATTCTAGATTCTACTATTAGTTTCCACTCCCACTAGACAAAAGATCATAATTAGCCCCGCCCACCCACCCCGTCTCCTTTTCAGCGATTGTTTTTGCCCGAACTGAATGAAATAAATGATCTTATATTGAAGAGAAATAAAATTAGTCGTTAGAATTGGAAGAGGGGGTGGGCGGGGCTAGTACTTGCCAAGATAAGACTGATTTTGGCAAATAACATTCCTTCCAAGAACATAGAGGGCGGGTGGGCGGGGCTAGTATTTTATTAAATACGACTGATTTTGGCACTTTTGATATTTTCTGCAAGTTTTCAACTATTTCCTAAAGTTAGTTACATTTTGTTCTAAATTTCGATATCCAGAAGTCATTGTCGGCTTCGTTTATTCGGAAACTTCTACCGTTTTTTCTAAAATCGTCAATTGAAGTAAAATACTCCTAATTTTTACAGTTTCGGCAAAATTGCTCGCTATAAGAATTTTGTAGATAAAAAAGACAATTTTTGGTTTTATATATTTTTTCTATATATTTACAGAAACGTTTAGAATTTATTAATTTGGGAAAATAAAGAAGTCAGCACAGGTCTGATCACGTTAGGTCAAGTCAGGTCAGGTGCATGAAATAAGAAATAAATTTTATAGCAAATAATATAACAAAAAAATTTAAGATTAGCGTTTTTTTTTACTTTCTCAGATCCTAAATTTTGTTATTAGTTTCTACTCCCACAGAAGAATATAATTAGCCCCGTCCACCTACCCTGTCTCGTTTTCAGTGATTGACTTTATTTTTACTTTAGAATTTTAATTTTTTTCTTAAATTATCAGCATCTAAATTTATCGATTCTGGAAAAATTGTAGAAAACCAATATTAATTTCCTTTTTTATCTACGTGCAAAATCTTTATACCGAGCTACTTTGACAAAACTATAAACAGTTAGCGATTTGGGAAAAACGGTAGAAATTTCCGAAGAAGCGAAGCCGAAAATGACTTCTACATAACGAACAAGAAAATGTATTCAATTAATTTCCGGAAATAATTGAAAAATGGTCGAAAATCTCAAAAGTATCAAAATCAGTCTTATCTTATCAAATACTAGCCCCACCCACCCGCCCTCTGTTTTCTTGGAAGGTTTGTCATTTGCCAAAATCAGTCTTAGCGTAGCTAGTACTAGCCCCACCCACCCACCCTCTGTTTTCTTGGAAGATATTGGATTTGCCAAAATGAGTCTTATCTTCGCAAGTCAGCTGGTGGACGGGGCTTGTACTTGCTAAGATAAGACTGGTTTTGGCAAATCACAAACCTTCCAAGAAAATAGAGGGTGGGTGGGCGGGGCTAGTATTTGATTAGATAAGACTGATTTTGCAGATAACATACTTTCTAAGAAAATAGAGGGTGGGTGGGCGGGGCTAGTACTTGCTAAGATAAGATTGATTTTCGCAAATAACATTCCTTCCAAGAAAATAGAGGGTGGGTGGGCGGGGCTAGTATTTGATAAGATAAGACTGATTTGGCACTTTTGACATTTTTGACCATTTTTCAACTATTTTCAATTTTTCGGCCTAGTGCATGAAACAAGTTTTAAAGCAAATAGTATGACAAAAACAGTTACAATCAGCCTTATTTTTACTTTTTTGACATTCTAGATTCTATTATTAGTTTCCACTCTCACTCGACATTATTACCCCGCCCACCCACCCCCTCTCCGTTTCAGTGAATCATTTTATCCAAACTAAATGAAATCAGTGATCTTATACCGAACAGAAATAAAATTAATCGTTAGAAATTGAAGAGGGCGGGTGGGCGGGGTTAGTATTTGATGAGATAAGACTGATTTTCGCAAATAACACTCCTTCCAAGAAAATAGAGGTTATATCATGCCTAAATCAGACTTATCTTACCAAATACTAGTCCCACCCACAGGCCCTCTGTTTCCTTGGAAGGTGTTTGATTTGCCAAAATCAGTCTTATCTTATCACATACTAGCCCCGCCCACCCACCCCCTGTTTTCTTGGAAGGTATGTGATTTGCTAAAATGAGTCTTATCTTGGCAAGTCAGCGGGGGGACGGGGCTTGTACTTGCTAATATAAGACTGATTTTGGCAAATCACGAACCTTCCAAGAAAATAGAGGGTGGGTGGGCGGGGCTAGTATTTGATTAGATAAGACTGATTTTGCAGATAACATACTTTCTAAGAAAATAGAGGGTGGGTGGGTGGGGCTAGTACTTGCTAAGATAAGATTGATTTTCGCAAAAAACATTCCTTCCAAGAAAATAGAGGGTGGGTGGGCGGGGCTAGTATTTGATGAGATAAGACTGATTTGGCACTTTTGACATTTTCGACCATTTTTCAACTATTTTCAATTTTTCGGCCTGGTGCATGAAATAAGAAATAAGTTTTAAAGCAAATAGTATGACAAAAACAGTTACAATCAACCTTATTTTTACTTTTTTGACATTCTAGATTCTGTTATTAGTTTCCACCCCTACTTGATATTATTAGCCCCGTACACCCACCCCCTCTCCTTTTCAGCGTTTCATTTTATCCAAACTAAATGAAATCAATGATCTTATACTGAACAGAAATAAAATTAGTCGTTAGAATTTGAAGAAGGGGGTGGGCGAGGCTAGTACATGCCAAGATAAGACTGATTTTGGCAAATAACTTGCTTTCCAAAAAAATAGAGGGTGGGTGGGCGGGGCTAGAATTTGCTTCGATAAGACTGATTCTGGCAAATGAAATATCTTCCAAGAAAATAGAGACTAATAGCATTTTATAAAATATGACTGATTTTGAGACTTTACATTTTCGACCAATTTTCCACTATATCCGAAAATTGGTTGAACACATTTTTTTGTAGATTTTGATATCCAGAAATCATTTTCGACTTCATTTCTTCGAAATTTTCTATCGTACAATTCCATTAGCAAAAATTCTTCCAAAATAAAGCATCGGATCCGTGAAATTCTCTCAGATACAGGAACCCAAGAAATTCTATTAAGTTTTTCCAAAAATGAACCTTTCGGGATTTCCGAGATTCTTTTATTATGTTACAAAAACGAAACACAAAACTCTTTCAAATTCTTCAAAAAAAAAAAAAAAACACACCAGGAGTCCCTGAGATTCTTAGAAATTCTTTCAAAAACAACCCCGATATTTTTACGAAACCTTCCAAAAAAAAAAAAAAATACACTGGAAACATTTTTATAAAGTAAATCGTTAGGGACTACCGAGAATTTTTCAAATTCTTCCAAAATAAAACACTTGGGCTCGCGAAATTCTCTCAAATATTTCCACAAAAAAAACTGTAACAAAAAATATGTGATAGCGCTTTTTTTACTTATTTCACATTCTAGATTCTATTATTAGTGTCCGCTCTCACTAGACAGAAGAACATAATTTGCCCCGCCCATGAATGATCTTATACTCAACAGAAATAAAATTAGTCGTTAAAGTGTGAAGAGTGGGGATGGGCGGGGCTAGTACTTTACTGATTTTGGCAGATAACAAACCTTCCGAGAAAATAGAGGGAGGGTGGGCGGGGCTAGTATTTGATAAGATAAGACTGATTTTGGCAGATGACTTTCTTTCCAAGAAAATAGAGGGCGGGTGGGCGGGGCTAGTATTTGATAAGATAGGACTGATTTTGGCAAATGACATACCTTCCAAGGAAACAGAGGGCGGGTGGGTGGGGCTACTCCTTGTCAAGATAAGACTGATTTTGGCAAATGACATTCCTTTCAAGAAAATAGAGGGCGGGTGGGCGGGGCTAGTATTTTATTAAATATGACTGATTTTGGCACTTTCGATATTTTCTCCAAGGTTTCAACTATTTCCTAAAATTAGTAACATTTTCTTCTAAATTTCGATATCTAGAAGTCATTTTCGGCTTCGTTTATTCGGAAATTTCTACCGTTTTTGCTAAAATCGCTAATTGAAGTATAGTACCTATTCCTAATTTTTACAATTTCGTCAAAATAGCTCGCTATAAGAATTTTGTAAATAAAAAAGACAATTTTTGTTTTATATATTGTTTTTATATATTCACAGAAACGTTTAGAATTTATTAATTTGGGAAAATAGAGAAGTCAAGACAGGTCTGATCACGTTAGGTCAAGTCAGATCAGGTGCATAAAATTAGAAATAAATTTTATAGCAAATAATATAACAAAAAAATTTACGATTAGCGTTTTTTTTTACTTTTTCCAAATCCTAGATTCTGTTATTTATTTCTACTCCCATTCGACAGAAGAATATAATTAGCCCCGTCCGCCTACCCTGTCTTGTTTTCAGTGAAATTTTATTTTTTTTTTAATTGTCAGCATCTAATTTTATCGATTCTGGGAAAATGTTAGAAAAGTAATATTAGTTTCCTTTTTTATCTACGTGCAAAA